TTGAGGCGGGGCCTCAAGTTGAGGGTTGGTGGGTCTTACATCCGAGAGTATAAACATTTGGTGGATGCTGCAGCTCATATGGAGCTCATGATGCAGGAGGAGGATGAGGGGCAGAGAGGCTCCAAGAGGAGCCAAGATGGCCAGGGCGATGGCAGGAGACAGAGGGGTCCTAATCCTCAGCAGTCTCAAGGTGGTTTGGCTAGGTCGACCTTTCCAGTGCTGAGTGCGGGCTTTGGGAGAGGTAATCAGGGAGGTTTGACTTGCTACACCTGTGGCCAGCTGGGTCACAAGTCTTCGGTTTGCCCGCAGAAGGGCGGAGGTCAGAGAGCTGCTTCTTCTTCAGCTAGACCGTAGAGTCAGGGTTTGGGTAGAGGGCAGCCCTTGTCTTGTTATCTGTGTGGTCAGCCTGGGCACCTGAAGAGGTTTTGCCCACAGTTGAGTGCTACTTCAAGGGCGTCTGGTTCTAGGCAGACGCAGAGTTTTCAGCCGGCTCAATCTGTGCAAGCCTCGAAGGCCAATCCGGGAGCTTCGTCATCCCAGTCTGTGCAGCAGTCGTTTGCTCCTAGAGGTGAGCAGGTGGATCAGGGGCCTACAGGGCGCGTGTATGCTGTTACCGCGCAGGATCTAGTACCGGCTCCATCAGTAGTGAGAGGTACCTTTTTGTTTTGCAACTCGGTTGCTAATGTGTTGATTGATACGGGTGCATCTCATTCTTTTGTATCTGCTGCATTTGCATCTGTTTTGGAGTTGGAGTTAGCACAGTTAGCATCTCCTATTTGTGTAGTGTCACCCCTTGGGGGTGAACTGATCTTGAAACAAGGTGTTAGAGGTTGTGATATAGAGGTTGCCGACCATAGGCTTCCTTTTTCATTTGTGTTCATGCCCATGAAGGGCTTTGATGTTATTTTGGGTATGGACTGGCTATCGTCATACCGGGCTGTTATCGATTGCTACCGCCAGAGGGTCACGTTATGTACCTTGAGCGGGGAGTGGTTCCATTTCTTGGGAGACCGGGTTGGTAGTGTTTTGCCACCGGGGTATGATTCGTGAGGGCGGAGTGAGATTAGTGGTCTACTTGCCAGCTTTAGGAGTGGTGAGTGTGATGAAACCCAGGTTGTGTTACTGAGGGTGGTTTGTGAGTATTCGGATGTTTTTCCCGAGGACCTTGTTAGTTTGCCACCTCACCGAGAGATAGAGTTCTCTATTGATCTAGTGCCCGGCACAGCACCGATTTCTATGGCACCTTATCGTTTCGCCCCAGCCGAGTTGAGTGAGTTAAAGATTCAGCTCCAGGAATTGCTAGATAAGGGTTTTGTTCGCCCTAGTGTTTCACCGCGGGGAGCACCCGCCCCCTTTGCTAAAAAAAAAAATGGTGCCTTGAGAGATGGTGGGAATATCTGATTTTGATACCCCGAGATCAAGAAGGAACTCAACAATAGGCTTAATTTTCCCCTCTAAGCTGTAGTAGGCAAAGGCAGGGAATTTGCGTGTCACTTCTTTGATCAGCTCAAGTTCCATGCCAAGTTCTATGAGGTAGATAATGTGAGGAGGGAGCTTCCCAGGACTGACATTAGTCACTCTGGCCAAGGCTTTTAACTTCTTGGGGTTGAAGGCGGTATTGGGGGCCGAAACTGGCACAACCGATCTGTGTTCAATTGATGGGTTTGGTAACTTTTCTAATGGCTTTCCTTTAATTGGTGGATTTGGAAAGTTTTCCACTACATCTATCAGAATGTCTCCATACTCCTCATAAAGGGTATCAAGATATGAAATAAGAGCATCCCTGATCTCAAGAGTTGTAAGCTCTCGTCCTGCAATGTCAAAGAAAAATCCAATAAGTGGGGCAGTAAAGCTTGAAACACAAGACAATCATAAAACTTAAGCTTCAGGGAAAACAGTGATGTGTTTAACTCGAACCTACTAGATACCGGGCTTTATGAACAGAATGAAGCCTTGAAACGAGGTGATCAATGAAAAGTTCTGACTTGTTGATAGTTCTTGCTGCAACTGAATTGCTTAAGCCTTGTTTTTTCAAGAACAAGGCCAGTACAGCCTTGGCTTCTTCTTTCTCAGCCACTAACAAATTTGAAGGCACCACTCTTAAGCTGAACGACCCATCATTCCCAGATTCAGCTGCTAATGTATCAAAACAAATTCTCCGATATTGTTAAGATGAACCAAATAATACAAGCATGATAGTGAACTTCTGAGTGAAAGTATGGATGGTCCATCAGATGTAACAAGAAGATGAATGAAAAAGGAATTGCTTACCAAACTTTGCCTGGCAGAAGAATAGTTTCTTAGGAAAATTGAGCTGAGTCCTGAGAAGATACTAAAATATAATCAGTTTTGCCAACTTGGAAATAGAAAAAAAAAA